CAAATGGGAGTTTCCGAAAATAGGGGACCCTAATGTAGCACCCTAAATAGTAGGATCCTTATTATAAGGACCCCGAATAGGGTACCCCTAATTCTCGGAAACTCCCAAATCAATACAGAGGGACCCTTATCGGCCCTAGGCCCTCATCTAGAACTACCCATATCCCGAAGGTTCGCGCGGAAATCTCCGACCGTGGATGAGCTTGGGGGATCTGTTCTCAAAAGCCCTTAATCAAGAGATCCCAAGGCACCCTAAAGCCTACACCTCCAAAAAAAATCTTAAAAACTAAACATCGCTATAGACCCTAAACCTTCATACCGGAACCCTAAACTCTAGCCTTATAGAAGCCTGACTCCCACTCCTGCTCCTAGTCCTACTCCTACTCCTCCTACTCCTACTACTACTCCTACCACTACGACTACTCTTACTACTACTACTCCCACCACTACGACTACTCCCACTCCCACTCCCACTCCTACTCCTACTCCTTCTCCTCCTACTCCTACTCCTGAGCCCTACAGTAAGATCCGCTCCCCGCAGAGCTGCTTCAGGACTTCTTGGAGCACGCTCGTGAAGGCGTCGGAGTACTGGCTCTCCTGCGGTGCCCAGAGACTCCAATATTCCTTAATTAGGGAATATACCTTAAATTCATACTAAGATCCTACTATAATTTAAGGTATATTCCTTAATTAAGGGATATTGGAGTCTCTGGGTTCCGAAGTGGGAGCTGTACTTGGAGGGTCAGGGGACTTAGTAAGTCAGGTTATAAGTACTTTAAGTGGGCGAACAAAAGTATAGCTACCTGTTCTATAACCCCAGTTACTAAGTACCTTTAAGTAGGGCTTCATAGGAAGGGGGTGCTGGCGTTTAAGCCTGAATCCCTCAACCCCGAAGCCTCACACCCTATCATCCGGCCAGCAAAGCCTAAAGTAAAGCTTCGGGAAGGGCACGGTACTAGGATACCCAGTAACCTAAGAATAAAAAGGCCTCTCTTTTTGGTATTGGGTAACTTTATCAGGAACCTAGGGCTACAAAAAAGGAATAAGGGTACTACTGGGCACCTAGGGTATATTGTAGAACCCCCAAACATCTTTGCGAACTGTGTCGCTACTAACTGCTCGGACCATAAACCACAAATCTTACACTCTAAACCCTAAACGGCCAAACCTGAAACATTAAGCCATAAACCCTAAAAGCCTAAACCCTAATTACACGACTAAACCCCAAACCTTAAACATCCTTAAACCCTAAGTGCTTAGGGTTTTCCTGAACGGTTGCAGACAGCAGCTGCCCACAGGTCGCACTCCTGTATTTACCTACGTGGGTTTGGGGCAGCATGGAGGGTTTACGGTTAAGGGTTTGAAGGTTCAGGGTGTGGGGTTCAGGCTTTCGGGGTTTTGAGTTTAGGATTTAGGGGTTCGGATTCAGGCTGTGAGTGCTTTAAGGTTTAGAGTTTAGGAACCAGGCTCTCCAACACAAGGGCGTGTAGGATCTTAGGATACTGGGCTTGTGGATTTGGTGGAGACGGTCTGGACTGCAGGAACCGACCCCTAAAACCCCACAACGTTGGGAGCCTGCTCAGCCGTGTCGGTAAGCTTCCGGACAGCTTTGCGCACGTACTTGCCATAGTCCGTGTCCTGCTCACTCACGGCATGCAGCTAGACTCAGCCTGACCCCCCCCCCCCGCCCCCAAAACACCTCCACAAATAGCTTTTACCCCCAGTGCGCAGGCAATCGGGGCTGCTGAGGAAACATTTGTCCCTCTAAGCAATCCTTGTCATGTTGAAAAGCCCGAATGCGTACTACACACGCACACACACATGCTGATGCCACAAGCACTCACCTGCCACATGAGAGTTTCAGAAAACAAGGGACCCAACTATAAACCCCACAGAGTAATCCTGATCAGAAGGACCCCCCCAAACGCCTATGGCCTATAACCCCTTGCAGAAAGCCCCGAAAATCCTTACACAACCTGATAAAAACCCAGACTACGGTGGAAAAAGCTGGGACGGATTCCTAGGCCCATCGCAACCCAAAGACTCCGGCATCGGACGAAAGTTGAAGGTTAGGTTTCAGGAGTTTGGGGTGTAAGGTTTAGGGTTAGGCTTGAAGCTGTAGGGTACAGGGTTCAGTGTTTAGGTTTTGGGAAACCCTAAACCCTAAAGGGTTTTGGGTTGAGGGACTTCGTAGCTTCCGTGGTTCTTGTTGAAGCAAACGTAGTTTCAGCTGCCAAGATGAGAGAAGTACATTATTTAATGCATGCACCTGAGTATGGTATCGACTGCTGCTACTGCCCTGAGATGGTGTTCCTTCTACCACAAGCAAAACAGTACCATGTCTCTAGAATGGCACGACCCGACGTCTCGGGAAGACCAAAGCCCTTGTAGGAGCACTTATACACACTTATTAACATTTTTTAAGGGAACCCACTACAGCCCTGAGCTCCTAGCCAGATCACCCTTTGCACCTCAAGCCCGGAAAACTGATCAGATTACCCGGCTTAATGTCTAGGGTCTGGGGTTTAGAGACCCATTTGAAGGCCCAATCGCACATGTCCTCGGAGAAGGCATCTGCTCTCTTCTGCATCTGGGGCAAGATCAGCTTGCGGAACGTCGAAAGAAATCCTGCACTTTCCCACCGGTCAAGATCCGCTGCTGAGGCTAAACCCTAAACCCTTCTCTAGGGTTTAGGGTTTGCGGGGGGCATCGAAGTCAGACACTTAGGTTTAAGACTTTGGGTTTAAGGCATGGGATACAGTGGGTAGTGGGGCTTGGAGCAAAGGGTTTGGGGGTTTACATATGAGGCCGGCATAGGATCTGCGATCTAGCGGAACGTAGGAAGCTGATTAAGAAACCTTGGGCCATTACTAGGGGTCTTTATATGAGCCCTAATATTTTGGGGGTTATAGGACCAGGGTTTCTTAAACAGGTTCCTACATTACAGGGCTTGGAAACTCTCAATATCTGTCAATATCTTGCAAGTAAGGATCCTGTACTGAGGGTTACCCTAAACCATATAATAAAACATATGCAGACAAAAGTATAAAGTCGAAAGCAAATCTCCAGCCTGAACTCCCCGTCAGTGTCGATCCCTGGTTAACAAGCTCTCTTTGTTTACGGGCCATGCCAGTAGGAACGTTACTACAGTACCCTTTAATGTCGGGGAGTATATTGCTTAGGGGTCTACATTACGGTAGATGGTTCCGGAAACCGGACCTGAGAATGTAGCAGCCCAGGCCGGAATGGGGTTTTGGGGTATACCGTAGAAGAAACACGAGGGAAGACTGTAGCTAATTAGTCAGGCCTCTACATTAGATGCACTGGCAAGGCGTTTTCAAGCCTGCTCAGGACTCTAGAGTGTGGCTCCATGTACTTGTAAAGACCCTCAACATGTTAATACTCTCCAGGGGTTTGATACATCGCGAAGGGCCTTGACTTTGAAACAGACCGCGCTCAGATCATCCAACCAACCTCCATCCAGGCCCATGAGTTTCCACTTCCGGGCTGCATGGGAGCTCAGACTTGCCGCCGCGCAGCAAAAACCCCAAACTCTGAAACCATAGACCCTAAAACCTTTGACATCCATAAAGCATCAACCATGAACCCTACACCCACCACCTACTTTGAGGACTAGACTAGTTCGAAGGCAAACCTCCCAAAGCCTACCTAGGGATCCAACCTGCTCTGCTCAGAGCTTTAGTTTTTTTTAGGGTTTAGGGTTTAGGGTTTAGGGTTTAGGGTTTAGGGTTCGGTTGGTGATATAAATGCATAAGAGTACTATAATGTAGGGGCCTTAATAGTTAGAATAGGGTTCCTCTAAGGAGTCCTTTAAAGGGGCCACTACTGTTGATGATATAAATCCTGCATTACCTTAAAGACCCTAAACTATGGGAATTAGGGTATATTCCTTTCTATGGGTAATGCAGGATTTATACCATCAACCGTAATTCAGGGGGGCACAACCGGCCAGGACTGTTTCGGCTACAGGTAAAACCCTTCACCCCAAACCCCTAAACTCCTAAACTTTAAACCGTCAAGCGTGGATCGAAGGCAGTGCTCGGAGTTCGTATTGGCGGCTTTCGCTTCGCTGCTCGGGGTCGAACGACTCGGTTTCCGGAAGAGCCCTAATTTCGAAAACCGAAGACCCGAATCCCAAGACCGCCTACTTAAAGGATCAGGGGACTTACTGTTGAGGATATAAATCCTGCATTACCTTAAGGACCCTAAACTATGGGAATCATGGTATATTCCTTATGGGTCATGCAGGATTTTTATCATCAGCCGTAGTAGCTGGGGTTATAAATAGGTTAACTATACTTATAACCACTTATAAGCCCACTTAAGGTACTATAACTATAACCTGACCTACTAAGCCCCATGATCCTCCAAGTAGGGGCCTAGGGTTTTAGGGATTGGGGATAAGGGCTAAGGGCTTGGATGGTTTATAGGGTTTAAGGTTCGGCCCTTTGTCCTGGCTCGACACTGATGCGCTTGAACCGCTGACTGCACATGAAGGTGCCCATCTCGATGCAATCCTGCAGTTCCGGGTTGTTGGTCTAGCGACTCGGTTGTTTAAGGTCACGGTTCAGAGCCAGATACCAGTTCGCAGCAACAGCACAACCCAAGCCAAGACATGAAATCCACATTTCCGCGTACACCCTAAACCCTAAACCGCTAAACCCTAATGTCAACAAAGCCTGGAAGCGGCCTGAGGCCGAAACCCTACAGCCTCTGAGCCTAGCACTGCTATCCTGAAGCCTTTATACCGAGGTCCTACGGTCGATGATATAAATCCTTCATTACCTTAAGGGCCCTAAACCATATTCCTTTAATGGGGCAACGCAGGATTTATGTCATCAGCCGAAACCCTAAACCCTAAACCCGTATGACCTCGATCTATCGCCGAGCTTGACTCCAGGGCCTTAACTTTGATCCAAGGGTAAAAGGAGGAACCCTTAATAAGGACCCCTAGGTATACACCCTTAATATAGCTATTATATACCCATTATATGGCCCATTATAGGGTAGGGGTCCCCATTAAGGGTCCCTCCTTTTCCCCGTTGATTTGATGCTGCCGACCTCCTCGGAGGGTAGGCCTAGACCCTAGAACCTAAAACCCTGGACCCTAAAACCTAAACCATAAATCCATAAACCCCTTAACCCTAAACCCCTACTAAACTAGGACTGTGGGTTTGGGAATCCTTTGCGTGAAGGGTTTGGGAAAGTATTGAGGGCGTTTAGGGGTTCATAGGTTTGGGATATAGGCTTTACTATACTGATCTTAGAACCCTAGCAAAAATTACAATTTGTTTCTTAGGGATTATAATAACCAAAAATTTTAAAGAATATTTCTACTGACCCCTAAGTTTATGGTGTCGGGTTTAGATGGGGGGAAGAAGTTCTTGCGGAGGGACCAGCAAAAGCAAAGAAGCATTCTAAGGGAGCGGGCTGGAACTGAGTGGTTCGCACATCCTTTTGTGCTACGTAAAGGACGTACTTTGGAAAGACTAAACACCAAACCTTAAACTGACCTTAAAACCCTAAAACCCTAAACCCTCAAAACCTAAACGCCAAACTCTGCATGGTCCTGCCACTCCATCCACGTGCGGACCTGCTTGATGTCCGTGCAGTTGTTGAAATCCTGCTTTTGCTGCATTCTGCGTGGTCTTTTGCAGGGTTCCGGTGAGATTCTCGTTCTGTTTAGGAGCTTGCGGCTTATACTTTGACCCTTGACATGAAACCAAATCGCACACATACGTAGGGCTGCCCCTGAAGCCCCAAACCCTAAACTGCTGAGTTCTAAGCTTCTAAGGCCCGTCCTCCTCATTGTAGACGAGCTTGTAGGTGCCACCCAGCGGTCCCAGAGCATCCTCCAGATTTAGGAGTTTAGGGTGTAGCGTGCCCTAAGCCCCAAGCCCCAAACTGCTGAAAGCCCCGATAAAAAATGAAAATGAAAAAAAATAACAACCCCACAACAACACCTATACAGACCCTACTACTAGAGCCCCTCACAATCCTCTCAAAAACCCACAAAGCCGAAAGAAACACCACATAACACCACCAATCGTTTGAATAGGAACAACTGCAAAGCCCCCAGCAAAACCTTGAATCCTACATCCCTACAGAGCACCTCAAATCCTAAACCCTAAATCCTTCAACCTTTCAAACCTGTAACACTCAAATTCTTAATCCCTTAGTCTCAAGCCTCGAACCCAATACAACGATAAGGCCCCCATCAGAACCCCAAAACCTTAAACCCTAAACCCTTAAACCTTCAAATCCTTCACCCTTAAACCCTTCAACTAGGTCCCCCAGCAGCCGTTAATGACGAGGGTACCCTGGGTCCTAGTGTTCGGTTTTAACAAAGCGACTCCAGAACAAAACAGGCAAAATGATACTACTTGCAAACCTAGTAAACGCCTTAAACCCGTAACCTTAAACCCCTAAACCCCTAAACTCTAAACCCCTAAACCCCTAAAACCTAAACCCTTGCAAACCCTTGCAAACCCCGAGCCACCGGATCTTCGGGCCAGCGCGCCACCCACGGGGTGCAGTCGTCGTGGGCCCGCAGGAACTTGGATCCGCCGAGTGGTTTTTAGGGGGACTAAGGGTCTATGGGTTCCTTTAAAGGGATCCATAAGGGCTCCTCAAAGGGATCTGTAAGGGTTCTAGAAAGGGTTTAGGGCGTCGGGGTTGAGGTATTAAGGGTTATATAAGGGTCTATGGTTTAATTGTTTAGGGGTTTAGGGTTTGGGGTCTTAGGGTTTAAGGGTTTGCGGCCTAGGGTTTAAGGTTTAGGGCTCTTGAGGGGTGCAGGATTTAAGGTTTAGGGCTTATAGGGCTCAGGTCAACCCCAAGTTCCGAAACATTTTGATCCAAATCAATGCCCTACGGTTGATGATATAAATCCTGCATTACCCATAATAAGGAATATACAGTAATTTCCATAGTTTAGGGTCCTTAAGGTAATGCAGGATTGATACCATCAACAGTAGTGGCCGTAGTGCAGCGGCGTCAATATATGGCATGGGGTTTTCCTGGCATTTCATCGTATACTTACTTGTAATAATGAGCCCCAAGGAATCATAGCAGTACTTGCTTTGCCTTCCATTTTAAAGCCCTCAACCCGGCAAGCCTCAAGTTGAACAGAGAAGGGCTTGAGCCGGCACCAGCAGCTAAACCAGTGGCAAAATGCACCCAAACGCAAACTATTGAAACCCCTAAACCCTAACCCTAAACTCCCAAACCCTAAACTCCTAAACCCTAAACCCTTGAAACGATGCATGTCTAGTTGGGGCCTCCAAGCTAAAATTCACTGCGACAGTAAAATATTTGGCGGGCCAGAGCCTGCAATAGCCTGGTTTAGTTCCCGAGAGCCTCGTCGGGCTATAATACTGTTGATGATATAAACCCTGCATGACCTTACATGTCCAATTATAGCCCTGCCCGAGGTACCTGCAATGTGCTAACCCCAAACCCCGAAACCCTAAACCCTACTTACCACGGCCGCTGACCCGTTGAGTAGGGGTCGGGGTTCCTAGTTCCTAAACGCCAAACTCTTGTGTGCAGGGGGTGCTGGTGTCAGCGGTGCTCTCGGCAGCTAAGGCTCCGGCAGGGAATTGGGAAATGAACAAACAGCATCCCCATAACATAGACTAAGAGCATGTGGTTCGTCTTTTCTTTGCGGAACCCTTGACGGAGAGCACTCAGGCTTACCGGTTAGTGGTTTCGGGTCCGAGGCTCAGAGTTGGGTTGCACTGTTGATGATATAAATCCTGCATTACCTTAAGGACCCTAAACTATGGGAATTATGGTATATTCCTTATTATGGGTGATGCTGCAGGATTTTATATCATCAACCGTATCATGAGTCCCTTAAAGTTCCACAGTCTGCAACACGACCACCTCCCTACACCGGGCTCGACATTGTCAAAACCCTGGGCCCTCCAAACCTCTAAAGCCTAATCCCTAAACCTCCAAGCCCTAGGCCCTAAACCCTAAAACCCTAAATCCCTAAACCGCTAATCCCTAAACCTCTAAGCCTTTTAAACCCTAAAACCCTAAACCCTAAATCCCTAAATCCCTAAACCTCTAATCCCTCAACCTCTAAGCCCTTTAAACCCTACACCCTGACAGTGCTGTCGAGGGCGCGGTCGAGTAGGTGTCGGTATCCTCGTCGCACTCACAGGTACCACTCGTGTCCATGCAACAGCGGTCACATACACTGGCCGTGGTCCCCTTGAAGTACCTGAGACAAGGGGGTTAGGAGGGTTTGGGGTTAAGGGTTTAGACTGCCCTTTTCAAGGGTCCGTCTGCCTGTCGCCGTACTGTGTGCGGTCTATGTTCAGGGTTATTCTGTTATCGTCCAGATCTCCCACCTGCCTTCGTTTTCCCTTACCGGTTTCTTGGGACCACACTAGAACCCGCGTCTACTGGAGCTCAAAGACGGTCGATTGCGGGTGGAAGGTTTACACATCATGAACTGAGTTGAACTGAAGCCTAATCAGGGTCCTTTAGGTATCTCCGTGGGCTTCTTGGTGGTAGTCTTGAAGGTGAACGTCCGGGGCTTGCCCGGTGTATTGTTTAACAGTTGAGCCTTGAACCGTGGACCTCGACTTAGCCCAAACCCTACCTTAACCCACCAGAACCTACTTTTTTGTAGGGTCCCTTTCAACCCCATATTAGGGTTTAGAACAAGAACCTACAACAAGTAGGGTTTAGTAGGTCTAGGTACCCAGACTTAGCCCAAAGCCTAAACCTCACACCGACCCTAGCCCAAGCACAAACTTGGCCACCTGATCGCCTCAAGCCGAACTGTCAAAGTTGTTCAAACCTTTGAGGTACTCAGCGCAGTCCAACAGTCCTGCACAGATCCCAGGTCCCCGAAGTGCCACTGTAGCTGTTGATGCCATCATGTACGTAACATGTTCATGATTCTTGACAGCCGTCGTCGCAGCAGCGTGCAAACTATCACCGTCTGGCATCGGTCCTTCTCTCAGCATGGATGTGAGAAGCGTAAAGGAAAGAGCAATACGGTCAATACTCTTCGAAAAGGTGGCCAGCAGACCAAACCTCAAGATTTGAAACTTACTGTAAGAACCATATACTATAGGGGCCTTAATAATTGGAATAGGGTTTGGGGGCCCAGTATACTATGAATTTAATGAGGATCCCTCAAAAAAGTATTGGCAATAACTTCGGCCCCTGAAGTAGTGCCCTGAAGCTGAGAAACACGCATTTATCTCGGATCGGAGCGCTCTTTCTCGATGCACGGGTTGCCCTTCGCCATGTGGCTCTTACTGCCGAAGCGCTCGCTTGTCCTGCAACAACTGAGAATTTCGGGATCAGAATTTAAGGATTAGGGCTTTTAGGAACCCTGAACCCTAAACCCTAAACCCTAAATTAGGGCTTAGGCTTGTTGGGTCCCAAAAAGCGTTTTGGAGGCTTCTGGGTTCGGGGTTTAGGGTTCCTGCTACGATGGCTGTGACCAGCATGCCGGATCGCTGCAGACCCGATGAGGCTTCACCCACAGTTCCTGTGACATGTGGTGTTTAGGGTTTAGGGTTTAGGGTTTAGGGGTGAAGTTGCTCGTTGTGTTGAGGTTGCCATTGCTGCTGTCGTGTTTGCTGGTGTTTGACTCACCGCTTGGTGATTCTGCTACCAGTGTAGCTCTTAGTGGCGGCTGCTGCAGTAGTACCAGAAAGAGAAGCGGAGGAAGGATGCAATGGCGTTGTCACATCTCCCGTCGTTGCACCGAAAACTGCACGCCGTTGTGCACATCAACGCAACTGTTGTCACCATGGATACACACACTAGTGGACATCAATGCTGCCCAGCCCAAGTAACTCAAAGCCCAGGGAACCTCATGACCGTTCTGGCGTTTTCTGGTAATAGGGCTCGGTAACCCTAGAAATCTTAACCGCTGCAACCCAACACCCCAAACCTTTTCAGGAGGTCCAGTGGGCAATGGGCCAGTTGGCGAAGAGGCCGTTGGTGACCTCGCGACTGTGACAACCGGATTTCGGCTCGGTTACAACTTACTATAGGGACCTTAATAATAATAATCAGAATACGGTTTTGGTGTCCATTATACTATAATTACAGTAAGAAACCCCCAAGATTAACATAGGTAATTATGAAAGCCCCTATATTACAAAGCTTCTTTTCGAGTTTAGAGCTTAGGCTTTCAACGGTCGTGAGTTGAGGGTTTAGGTGGTTTTGTAGGTTCGGGAAATCTGTTTAGAAGAGTTTGTCGCTAGACATCCATGCTTACATGTCTCTTGGTCTTCTGGGTTCTTTGTAAGGACTGAGTATATACATCTGTATATATACATATACATATACATATACATATACATATACATATACATATACATATACATATACATATACATATACATATACATATACATATACATATACATATACATATACATATACATATACATATATACATACATATATATATATATATATATATATATATATTTCGCATGTTTCGCATTTCCGGGCGTAGTGTCCTGAGTTGGACGCAGCCATACGGTCTGCACCTAATTGGAAGTGAAACTAAACAAACAGCAAGCCTCTGGACTGAAATTCGCAATTAGCTCACCTCCTTCCCTGTACATGTGGAAGGGAGCACATTTGCGAACGACCTCAACTGACGGACAGGAGATCTCAGGAAGAAAGAGACAGGTTGGGACTCTCTTCGTCCAGAGGTGGAAGGTGCCTCTGACAAGGTCAGAAAGAAGGCGGAGCTGGTGGAGAGGGCTGGATAAGGACTTGAAGGACCGCAGAGGATCAGGAAGGCTGAAGGAGACACGAAGTCCATCGCCGGAAAGGAAGATCATCCGAGCAGTTCCAACAATATCAATCCAATCACTAGCTACAAGACCATCTTTGATATGGTCAGCGGAACAGCTGACCCAAGACGGCATAAGCCCAGTGCCAGAGAAACACCATTCAAAGGAAGTTGGCTCTGGAACACTCGAAACTGCAACACCGTCAAGCTCCAGCCACGGTGTGAGGGTTTCAGCGTCCCGGAAAGTGGAGGTGACAAAAGAAGACGGGCAGTCGTCAGCACCCAACCACTCAACAAAGTCAACTTCCTGGAGTAAACGCGAAAGTCGAAGATGCCAGGAAGTCCAACGGATCCCCCAGTCATCATCTCGGTCAAGCTCTGCTCTGAGCTGGCAGGACCACTGACGAGCTGTAGCTCGGAGTCGGGATTGCTGAAGACACTCACCACAGAAGATCTTGCGAACAGCCGCAACGAAGGTACTCCAATCCTCGTATGTGTCGCTGTCATAGCAGAAGCATGCCTCCAGTTTGCAGAGGATGAGTTCAGACGGTAGGTCCGGCTCGTCTACAGCTGGAGTGAAGTCCCACTGCCGTTGTGGCCCCTGTGCTCGCACAGCCGGGAGAAGAATTTTCTTCCCGCGGTCAAACTTCCTACTCCCAACGCCAGGTTCAACAAGTCCCTCAAACCCGGCGTTAAGAAGCGCATGGCGGCAGCGTGTGGAATAAGTCAAATGATTGCAGAGTCCTTGGTTGGCCCGAAAATGGCCAAGGCATACGGCACATTGAGTGCCAGTGGCCAGTCGCCTTACAGGGTTGAGGCGTCCATGCCGTTTAAATGCATGATGTGACCATGCGCGAAGGTCGTCAAACACAACCCCGCAAACCCCGCATACCTCATAGCTGCCTGCACGCTGCATGAGGTCCTCGGGCAAGCAGGCTCCAGCCCTCAAGAAAGCTCTAAAAGCAAGCCCTCTGTATTTCTGCAGCTCTGATTGCCAAAGTTCTGCTAAAATGGCGGTACTACGGGCTTTGTTGACAGCTCTCTTCCAGGCGTCAGGCTGTGCCCTGATGTAGGCAACTGCAGTATCCCAGTCGTCCCAAAAGGGTGGTTTAGAGCCTGCCTGTCTGTGCCAGGCACTGAGCCATTGCAGGGAAGTCTGAACTTCATCTAACCAGCCTTTTTCATGGTGTAGTATGGACCAAAGCTCACTGGTGGCCTTCAAAACCGTGGACTTGAAATGGCGCAGGCGCTCCACATGCATGGATGTGGCAACAGTGGGAAGCCTTGCTGCTGCAAGTAGGCACAAATGGCTGACGTGGCAAACATCAGGGTTGCCACGGCCGTTGGTAACAATGCATCGGGCCATGTTGACCAGGTTGCTCTGTATCCGAGCAACATCGGCACCCTTCATGCCAGACCATGTTCCACTGCCATAGTACAAGGTGGAGTCAACAAGGGACGAGAACAGCACCGATTTTTCAGAAACACTGATTATTGGTGATGCAAATACCTGACGCCTGTGCTTATTAAAGGCTTGCCAGGCATGGCCAAGTCTAGCACTAATTTCAACTCTCAATCCTCCTCTAGCATGGAGCAGGCCACCCAGATGCTTATAGGAGGGGGCTAAACCCAATCTTGCATCTGGCCAGAGGAAGGAGTCAATGGACAACTTAGGGGTTTTGCCCTTGAAGAGTTCCTTAGCCAGGGTGGTGGATCCCTGACCGTAAAGCCCAACGAGCGCCTCTGTCTTCCCGGCGCGAAGGTTGGGAAGCAAAGCGGCCTTAAGGCATTCCTCTATGGTCGTCCGGGCAGCGGCTTGGAGCCTACCTACAAGGTCTAGGGCCTTGTCAGCACACATTACAATCGAGAGGTCATCCATCCAAGTAGCATCGACTGGATGGCACTTCTCAGTAGCTGCCCCAGCTTTCAATCGGCAAAGCCAGGCAGGATTCCACGGAATCTCAACTGATATGCCTTGCTTTTGGAACTTGTCTCGCACACGGTGGAGGATTTCAGCGAAGAGGAATGTGAAGACTAAATCCGCCAAATTATCGCCTGGGCGAGTTCCAGCATGAACGGTGGCTATGTGGGAACTATTGCCATAAGTAACCCACGTATCTTCCATAAATTCCTTCATGACCTGTGAAGTCCAGTCGGATGCTCCAGAGTCCCGCAGCAAAGATTGCTCGCGTGTGTACTCGTAAAGGCGGTGTAGCGACTGGGGTGGGAGTCCTATCTCCTTGATGATGCCTGCTAGGTGCGCGTCACTCAGACTTCCCCCGTGTATCAGGGGTCGCACCACTCGATGGAACGCTTCACGGAGATCAACGAAGAGGATGGCCCATGACTTACGTTGATCGACACAAGCCTTCTGGAAAGCACGGATGGCATGTGTGGCAATTTGAACAGGTTGGCCTTTCCTACCTCCAATTTGCATAGGAGTGCACGCCTGCTCAAGGTATGCAGAACATTTTGAGCGAAACATTCCATGGACTGCCTTGCCGATGGAACTGCTGACCAATATGGCCCGGTAATTTTCACAGTCAGCTTGATCACCGCGCCCCTTCCATATCGAGTGTAGGGTCCCCCCTTTCCAAGCTATGGGTTCCTGTAGGCGGAACGCAACCTTCAAAAAGATTTGGTAGATGGGTCGCGAAAGGGAAGCAGCCTGCAAATGGAGAAGATCAGGAACAACGCGGTCGTTGCCGACAGCTTTCCCGCATTGGGCTAACCTTAAGCTGCGCTCTAAATCTAGGCGGGTAGGCAGGTCCGTGCGATCAAGACACAGGCTATCGGTGTCAACTCCGTGCTGCCTATCAAGGCACGCACGGATCAACGATGGAGCATCAGTGGGCTGTCCGTTTTCAATAGCACTAAAGTGACGAAGCCACCGTCGATCGGCTTCATCTTTATCCCCGGCGAGCTCCCCATTTTCGAGTTTGATCATCGGCAAGGCCTGGACACCCCTACAGAACCGCTTAGGTGGGCCTATGAGGGGGCGAAGTTTAGCGACAACGTCCTTAGTGGGGGAACTGGCCGCATTCTTAGCTATTTCGTGCAAATAGCTTTTACGGTCCTGCTGGATAGACCTACGCAGCAATGGCTGTAGCCGGCGAAGCTCCTCAACACCATGGGTGGCAGCATGCAGCGCCCTAAGCAATACAGCAATTCCTCTACGTTGTGCCTGACGCAAGTCATCATGGTTTCGCCATACTGAGAGGGCACACGCCACCTCGGTTGTGCGGAGACACCGGTTTGCCCAGCTGAGCTGCCTGCGCAGGGTAACCCTCTGTTGTCGGAGGTCCCATGTTGTGGGGCTAAAGAATGCACGTTTGCATTGTTTCGTCTGCGCGGGAAAGGCAATGGCCAACTGAGTGCTGAGATATTCAGCTACAGTGGCATAGTGGGTATGGGCATCAACATCCCAGCTCACCTCCGGAATGGTATCACATATCCGCTGCAAGGCAGCTTGGGACTCCGGTTCCTTGAGTTGAGCCCTGTTTATTCGGGCAGTTGCTCTCTTATCACCCCTTCTAGAGCGTATCCAGGCACACACATCAAGGGACACAGCAAAGTGATCGGCACCGGCTTGTCCGAAGTCGACCCCGTGGTGCACGCAGGAGCTGCCTGCTGGCGCGTCCCAGGCACTGGGAATTATAATAAAATCTATGCGAGACGCCGCACCGCTACCTGGAGCCAGCCAAGTGTAGTCTTCACCTGGGTGACACGCGGTATACGTGGAAGGGACCCAAACGTCTAGATCCTGCAAGAGCTGCAGCAGGCTAGGCGGAGAAGCTGGGCTGGTCTCCCAAAGTTTGTCACCAACCCTATTGTGCATCGGGTGGAGGAAACGAGAGTTTAGATCACCCAGGAGCAGGACAGGGTCGCCTCTGGCAGAAGTGACCAGCCGGTCTCGTAGTTGCTTCCACCAGCGTTCTCTGTTAGCATCTTGCGCTGTTGGCGCATGTATTACAGCAACTAGGAACCGTAAGATTGATCTAGTGAACCTGGCAAGGATGGTACGCGGGTCCGCATAGAGAATGCGGAAGTCCGTTTGTTGGAAGAACAAAGGCGTTGCTCCCATCCAAGCAAATGGCACATTACGCGCCAGCCAGAGTTCAACCCCATGACTACCTGTGGCATCAGCCTGCGATAGGTATCGAATGTGTGTCTCCGAGACAATGGTGGCGGACTGTT